TGCCACTAAAGAGTAGAAGGAAGTTAAGTAACCTGCCTAAGATCATGTGGAAACAGGAGTAAGACTGAGGTTCCAAAGTGGAGCCTGGCTGCTTGTGAGAAAGTGCTCACTTTGAGGTGTTGTTGGGGGAGACAGGAGGAGGACAGGGACACTTCCTAGGAAGACAGGCCTGTGGCCAACACACAACTTTCTGCCAGCTTTCAAGAGCAGAGAGCTAAGGAGCAGACAGGAGCACCAAAGACAGGCTTCAGATGGTAAAAGACCACTTGCTACGAAGTTTAAGCTTCAAGTATCTGTACAGTTTAGGCAGAAAAACAAATCAAAATCTGAAATGTGGAGGAAGGAAATATAGCGCAAAATTTCCCCACTGTCTAAGTTCATTGGCGACTGTCAACTCTTCCCTGCCCTGCCTGGAATTTCTGCAGCCCAGGCTAACCTTGATCTATGACTTTATCTCATGAGAAAATGAAGTTGTCAGGCTACTTAAGAAGTCTAATTAATTAGTATAACCAGTGCAGGTATTTTTAGGGGGAAACATGGGTGCTTGTCTGGGGTATTATTTTGTGTGTTTGTATTTTCTCTACTGTTATATTTTTAAATAATTATTGCCTTAACCCTTTGTTTCCCCTAAGTGGAGATGGCCTGGCATCTATATTAAATTCACTCACATATCTGGATATTTGCTTGTAAAGTGAATAACTAAATAATGACTTCATTCCCCAGAGCTCATTTGTGCTTTGGGTATTCTAGCCGAAGGGTCCCTATCTGATCGCCATGGCTGATTCATTGCCTATTATAGAGGCATGATCATCTGTATAGAACAGGGGCAGGACCGAGTTAGTGTCTTGTTAGGTTATCCAGCTGGGCCTCTGCAGGTGTTCTTTCAAATCTCATTCTAAGGTCATTGTAAAATAAAACGCACAGGAAGCAACTCATGTGATCCAGACCCTAATCAAGGGGAAGGGTCCTGATGCATAGAAGGAGGCCTCCAGAATCAGATTATCTGGCTTCAAATTTGCTTCTGTGTTTAGCCATCCATGTACCTTTGATGCTAGCAAGTTCTTATTTAGTACAGAGTGGAAATAATAACAGTAGTCTTCCTTATCCAGTTGACTTGATGTTAACACATATGAACTACTTAGGATAGTTTGTCATATGGGCATTCAGTACACTAACTAGCTGAGTCAAACGGGTCGTATTAATAAAATTAACCAAGGAATCACCAACTTTCTTTTCTTTGAACTCTTGGGATCTGGAGTTATTTCAAACTTGATATATAACATTTAAAAAAAATTGTACTAGGGATTGGACCCAGTGCTTCACCTGTGGAAGCCAAGTAGCCTACCACAGAGCTATATCCTCACCTCACTCCACTTTGGGCATGAGTTGCCTAGGCTGGCCTTGAACTTGCAGTTTTCTTGCCTATGCCTTCTGAATAGTTGGGATTTGCTGCCAGGCTTGACCTGACAGACTTAATCTGAAATTGGTGTTCCTTGGGCAAGTTAAATTCTGACTTTCAAGTTTTCTGTCAGCTATAAAATGTCAGTGTGGTGTTCCCAATTTAAACTTTAACAATGCTAACTTTAGAGTGGGATTATCTGAATTAAGTGGGTTGATATAAGTGGTGTCTATAGTCATTGGCATATGTTGGCACCTCACCAGCATCTATGTTGACTATGAGAGACCTAAGTGAACCTTTAGAATTTGCCTCTTCTGGCCAGCAGAGCAGCGGACTTCATATTTATCTCATTTCAGGTCTTAAACTTTTGCCTTGTTAATTTACACAAAAACACCACTTTGTGATGTGACTTATTTTACTGGGCAATGTTTCGAATTGTAGAGTTTGTGTTGTCTAGTCACAGTCAAAGCCTTTGTTTTATTATAAATATTTTTAACTTTTGGGGCTTGTAATTTCAGAATGAGTCATTGTGAGTTCTTTAAATTGACTAGGTCCTTGGTTGGTAGACCTCAAGAGAACTTGTTTTACGAAGTGGAGATGCTGAAGCTAATGAGCACTGTGGTGAAGATGACAAGCCATTCCGGCTTGGCCAGATGGAGGTGTAGAATTAAACTGAAATTTGGAGAGGGAAGTAGAAGCTTAGGGAGGGTCAAGACCTGAGAATGGAGTTTATATGACTGGGAAAAGCTAGGCAGACAAAAGGACGGAAATTTTAGTAGGTTTCTGAGGAGTTTATTAGCCAAATTGGGAAGATTTTGCAAGTGAGCAAGACCATATCTTGTTGTGTAAGAATGTTTACAGATATTATTTTATTTAAACTAAATGTTTACAGATATTATTTTATTTAATCCTTGTGATTATCAATATATAAAAAGAACCTGAATGTTTAGTTTCATATTCCCTTTAGGTGTGCATCCTGCCACAGCAGACCGATTTGGTTATCTCCTAATCTTATTGAGAAGGGTATGTTTCAAAGTGTTGTATAAGGCAGGCATA